TACCTCTCATATTGAATTTTTTTAATTTAATGATGCCAATAAGTAATAATTTATTACAACAATGAAACAATAATCAAAGAAAATACACCCTGACATAGATTGTTGAAATAGATTAGCTCAACCCCTAAGCTCAGTTCAAATGAGAGAAAGACTTGTTTATACAGATCAGGTGCCATCATTAGAGCCGTTTGAACAGTTCAGTTCTAGAAACTGATCAACTTGAAGTTGATAAGTTATACTTGATATTTCGAGAGCTGCATTACTCTGTCATCTGCAATTTTCTAAGGCTATATGGAATGCATGGAAGTGCGGAGAAGTTCGGTGTCATTCCTCGCTTTCATATCTTCTCGATTGATGGAAACTTCTTCTTACGCAGTGTCATTGTTCGAAATTCCGTTTATGATACTTCAGGAAAAGCTACTCTAAATGTATTCATGATTGACTATCGTTGCGAAAAATATTGCTAATCTTCATTAGTAATTTCAAAGAAAACTTCTCTAGTATATCTAAGCAATCGACAATGTAATAAGATGCTTTCTATATTCTGTTTTTAATGAATCATCAGTATGAAACACCGAGAAAAACATAACATTTTTGATCAGGTCCAGCCAAGGACAAAGAATTGTTATCTCCAGAGTTGCATTGAATTGTAACAGCTCTTAATTACAAACGTTTTCTTCAATAATGCATTTGAGGCACAATTTATTCTCGATTGTTTCGAAAAGTATGTTATTCTCAATCAACGAGAATATGAACCGTTCTCGAATTGAAAGAGAGGTATTAACTCTTGTCTTATTGATAGCTAGATCTCTTTCTGTATTAAATGCTCCTCTGATTCTTTCAGACATCGAACCACATGTTGATACTTAAAATATATTTTAATGGGTATATTTGTTGAATGCCTATCTCTTATCTTTTCAGTGTTGCCTCTATCAACTTGCATTAAATTATCAGTTGGTATGAGAAGGTGTGTTTTTAACTTGTTTCAACAAGACTTTGATTCTTTTTCTTGATTATCTTGTGAAATAGTTGTCGAGTTTTTTACATATAGGTCGCTTATGAAAAAAGTACTATGTGGAAAGTACATATTTGGTTTCTAATTTTTCTACTAGTGACTAATGTACGATCAGCAATGAATAGCAATATTCAAACAGCAGTGATTCCAGATAGTGAATATGAACAAGTGATTGCTCAACGTTATCTTTTTGCTTCATATGTAAATGAATCTACTGCTTGGCCTGTGCTCAACAATATCAAACATGTATGGCAAGTTATTTCATTACCACAATATCACTCTCAAGCTACCGAAGGAGTTTGGCTTTTATCTGAAGTTATGAATGAAAATGATAAATTGAACTCATCATCTGATCAATATCAAATGTCTTGGATGTCGTTGTCTGCAAATGGTAGTCTAGTAGTTTTATCTCGGAAATTAGTGTAAAGAATAATAACAGCTTTTTGATTTCCTCTCACAATGAAATGACTGCTTCGTCCTATTCAGCTGCTCTTATCACACCAAATGATGTTCAACTGATCTTATGTAATTCGTCAAACGCTACTTCCTGTAGTATTGTACAAATGATTCCTTTTCCATCTATTCTTTTAAATACCACTAAAATCAACGATGGTTTATTTGTAGAAGATTTAGGACTTGCTGGATGGTTGTATATTGCTAGTGATTCAGGTTTACATGGATTGGATCTTTTGACACTGACAATTCATCCTTACCTTAATGAAATAAATGTATCTATTTCATCTTTAGCGTGGAGTTCACAACGACAGGCAATATTTGCTGGTAGTGAAACAAAACTTTGGATTCAACAATATGGTGATGGTAATGAAGGATGGCATTTTGTACATATCAATGCATTTATAGATTCACCGATTACTTCATTAGTATATAATGATGTACAAGATAAATTATGGATCGGACAAGATACAGGAATAACTCTTCTTTCACCGGTTATCATGTCAATGGGACGTCTTCATTGGTATTTCTCTAGATTAGCAGGACAAGTTTCCAATCCTGGATCCGATATAGGGCACTTGCCATTTGCAAATATAACTGTATTGAGTGTCAGTCATTCAAAATCTTCTGATAGACGTATATGGATAGGAAGCGTTCGTGGAGTGATGCGTTTCGATTCAAACACGAGTGATTTGAATGCATGGCGTATATTTAATAGTGCTAGATACATGCCCAATCGTGAATCACAAGTCAGTGTGTCTTCATTAGCTATACTGAGTTATGCCAATGGTATACCGAATAACATAGGTAGTACCGCAGTAGCAGTCACTAATAGAGGTCTAGCTGTCCTTCGCTTTGAAAAGTGGACTTTAGCACAAAAAGCGGAACACTTTCAAAGATTTCTCGATCAACCAGATAGACATGATAAATACGGTCTCGTATCTAGATGTAATATGTCATCTTGGGGCGATATTCGCACTTGCATGAAAGGGCCAAGTGATAATGATGGTCTTTGGGCATCGATGTATTTGGCAAGTCAGGTCTTTCGCTATGCAGTACTACGAGATCCAACGATCAAAAGTCAAGCATGGAAACATTTTGAGGCTTTAGAATTACTTAATCAAGTTTCAGGTACTCTTTAAATTATAGAAATAATATTTGATAATTTGATTTTTCTTGTTTATTTTCTTGATAGGTATTCTTGGTTATCCTGGACGTTCATTTGCAAAACGCACTGATTTTCCCCCTAGTTCTGATTGGTATCCTTCTCCCGTGTATTCAAACCTACAATTTAAAGATGATACGTCATCGGATGAAATTGTTGGTCACGAATTTGTCTATCCACTCGTACATGATTTATTGGCTGAAAATGATAGTGAACGTCAACGAGCATACATACTCACTTTTAATATTACGAATCATATTTTAACTCATGACTGGTATTTAATAGATGAAAATCATACACATACAACTTGGGGTATTTGGAATCCAATTCAGATAAACAATGATAGCTTTTATCAAGAAAGTCGAGGTCTCAATAGTCTTCAAATATTAGCTTTTCTATTACAAACCTATGCTTATAGTGGTGACGAACGTTTTCTCGATGTGGTGCCTGTCTTCTCACTGAATCCTATCAATACGATGTTAATCTGATCAATGAAAAGACCATTGCTGTTTGTGATAATAATTTTTCTGATGATGAATTAGCATATTTATCATATTTCGCACTAGTTCATGCATTTCATACAGTTGCTTCATCGACTAGTTTATCTTCAACACAAAAGGAACGCGCACACAAATTGATTGATCACTTATTAGAATACATGAAATTTGGATTAGACCTATCACATAAGTATAAACGAATGGAAAAATCACCGTTTTATAATTTCATCTATTGTTATGTAAGTGGTCAAGTCAATGAAACTCGATATCTTTTTAAAAAATACAATTTATCATCTACAAAATCTTTTGATTTCGATTGTCGTTCGTTATCCAATGATGGTATATGGTATATGCAACGTTGGCCACTTGAACTCATTAATTGGCAACAATTTAATAGTGATCGGTTGGATGTTCAAATAAATGTACCGGCCAACTGCAAGTCGAGACCAGTTTCCTTACAAATGTTGCCACCTGATGAACGATCTTCTGAGAAATGGAATGGAAATGTTTATGCTTTAGATGATGGTAATGGATTCAGCGAAGACGATCCAGCTGGATTCTTATTAAGTTATTGGGGAATGCGTTATTTCAATTTATTAAGATAGAGATAGTTCGTACATATTTGCCTATAATATCAGTAGAATTCTTCATTTATGTGAAATTGATATCCAAATATATTTTCAAACGAGTTGATTTTTCATTTGAATAGTAACTTCATGTTTTTCTAACTAGCTCCATATGTTGCATTCTTCTCTTTTTCTACTAAATTGCAAGTTCATAATAAGTATTTACATTTGTTCTTTCTTTCTTTTTGTTCCATGTTTTTCTTCTGATGGTTTTTAATACCGACTTTACTGGTGATGTCATACTGTTCGCCGTTTTTCCATCTAGGGTTAATCGCAAGCGAAATAATATGGCTTTGATCAGACTAAGCAGCAAGTCCCTATTCGTTAATCACCACACTTAATCTTACAGACTGATGTCTATCGCTCAGTCATTAATTTCGTTCCCTCACAATCTGGTCCCTCATTTCATTGTTTGCAAGCGAAGGTTTTCAAAAACACATTTATTATGTATGCAGGCAATCTGATCAATTAAAAGGAACCGAATCCCTAAATAAATCGAACCCGAATCAGGCTGTTTCTAGAAAAATAGAGAAGAACAGAACCGAAATCAAACCAGTAAAACATAGTTCGATGCCGCCTTTAGAAAAAGGAATACACATCTTTTTCGTTTTGTTTTCTTTCTTTCAATGGTCGCATAGAATCCTACTGAAATTATTGATTATCGACCTGAATAGCCAGTCGAACGAAATCTCAGCTTGTTGATTCCTGGATTAAGAGTAAGATTGCATGAATGGAATAAATGGAAACTGTAGTAGAATACAGTTGGTCTAGGACGATAATGAATTAGTCGAACAAGCACAGAAACAAACTAATAGTGGTGGTCAATTCATTATATCTCAACGGTAAACTCAATATTGGTCGTAAATAAAAATATCGAAAGCATCTTCAATGTGTCGAAAAACTTTTATGAAAGAAAGACTGTTTTGAAAGTTGTTGGATAAAGATGTTATTATTGTATGATCAATATCACATTGACATCGTGTATGCGAGTATGTAGCTTAAGAGAAAACACACTGAAATTTACATCTTAACTCACATCTTAATTGAAGATTATTATGATAGAATGAATCTTTCATTTATTAGGACCACCTGAAGATTATGGTTTTGATCAATTTTACGAAAGAAGAATAAAAACATGTACCAAATATCATACGTCAATGGGCTTCTGATGTAATGGAGCAGAAAAAAACAACAAATAGGTTTATAAAACCGAATAAGCACATTGTATAATCTATGTAATGTGATTGTCTCATTACGACATTTGATCTCTTCAACTATTTATCTTTTATTGTGGCAAAAAAAGTTATGATTGTACAATAAGAACATTATTTAAAGTCAATAAACTGATATTTCATAGTGTCTTTTTGCTTTCCTGGTCACTTCGACGTCAGCGATTCTTGTACATACGAAGCATGACTGATCAATAATTTCAGTAGCAGCCAGTAAGTTTCTAAGTCTGCTGATAACACTTTCACCACATACTCGTTACCAGCAATTGAAGACATGTCGCAACAATTTTTGAATATAATCAATTCTTCAAAAAAGGTGATATGGTCCCTGTTTGTTCAACGGAGATTGGTGGTCATATCTCCGTTGGACACGAATCATGTCTACGTAATGATGCATGAATTGAGTAATCGACTTTAAGAATATTCTCTCTTACCTGTTCGTACGTGATATTGGATCGAAAATGTCTCCAATAAAATTAATTTGAACAAGCATGTATCGATAGCAGAAAAGTATTGTGATCGATGAATCAAATATTGATCGCCAATTCACAATGGCCCAATTCCTTTTAGTTAACAAGCCATTTCGTTATTATATACTGTTTTACAGTCCTCAACAAAGCTAGTATCCAACGTTTAAAAAAGCATGGATGCGTGTAGATGTTGATATTAGTGTCAGTCTCGTTGTGTACAATCGTATGAATATCTATGTGATGATTATTGTCGTGAGTTCATCCAATCAAACTGCTACTCACACATTGGTACTCAAGGAAATTCTAAACTACAATACAGCAGCACACTCTAAAAAAGGAGAAGGATTTCTACCGAACCAAAAAAGATTTTATGTAGGACCTAAACGGAGTAGAGTCAAAACCAACGTTTCACGCAGCAGGCTTCATACATGTGTAAAACCCTAAGGACCGAACCTTTCCAACGGATTACCTGAAAGGCTTCATACCGAACCATAGCTACAGAACCCATTTTGCATTCACTGCATTTTGAGTGCGCTAAAAACCTTGCTTCGATGATCACATTAGAAATTCCGTATCAATCGTATTGTACTACTCCTTCCTCATAATCAAGAACTAATTAGTAATGCATATTTCAAAGTTTGTCGAGTTCTGATTGTTCGAATTATTACAGCTTGGTTAATTTTTGTTTGACTGATTTCTAACAAAGTCCTTCATTTGGTAATCATCATCTTCTAATTTTTCAGGTCTCACACAAAACAACTATCAATAAAAACCTTTCAAAAAGTAATACAAGATAGATTTTCTCTTCTCTTTTGTTTGTCTCTAACAACTACTAACACCACATGTAATCGTGTTCATAAAACGCCGGATCAATGTAGTTGTCATACAAAAATAAAAGTGTCTAATTCTTATAAGACTCTAGGAAAACAAATAGACATAGAATTAAAGTTATGCTCTCTTCTGTTCTACAAAATGATTGCATCGTTAGTATTACTTCTATTTACATTACTCTTATCTCATTAGATCCTCGTCGACCAGAGAAGTAAATGAAATGTTAGTCCCTATATAAAAACCTAATGTTTTCAGTATTCTTTTTTGTTCGGCTAAATATATTCTATTTTACTAATCAATTTTCGTTAGCTATTACATTCATACATTGATGATCTTTTCATAATATTCTTTTTTCCCTTCACAGGTCCCTATACATTTTTTGATTCTCTTGTCGTTCACTTATTTCTCTCTTTCATCATTTGTTACATTCCTTTATTAGTGGAAATTGTAACTGATTTCGTAAAGGTTATTCAAATGATTAATAGATTAATAGTTATTTCCTAAAATTTAATTGTCTAATTCGATCATGAATTATCTATCAGTTTGCTGAACTCATAGCATTATTTAAGATTTCTTATCAAAAATGAATTATTGTCTTTTTAAATTATTCTATTAACTTCTAAAAATAAGACTAACTTATGAAACTGTTCATCTACATAGATAGTATAATTCATTTTTATATCACTTTCTTTAAAATCTTCATTAAGTTCATCAGCGTTAAGTTCTGAATATGTAATCAAATTAGTTTTTCATAAACCACAACTAATTTCCAAGGCTAGATCAACTTTGATTTGTGTTGCTAGTTGCATTCGTTCCATCGTCCAATATGACAGTTGATTAAATAAAAGTAAAATATTCATTTGATATAGTACTACCTTTGGCATTTCAAAACAATAAGAAATCATTTTTATAAATATAAATCAGTATGTACATGTAGACTGTACTTCGTTTTGGTATGCAATATTTGTAACTCTCCACTGGAATATTGATGAACCCATACCAATTTATGTTCATTAAACCCCTCCCCATATTAGAAGCCCCCCGGGGGCTTCTAAACTGTCAAGCATCTACAATTTTCGGAGGGGGCTTCTATAATGGGGGGGCTTCTAATATGACTTTTGTGTAAAATTTTCTAAAAAATTATAAGGAAATTGTTGTTTCAATCCTCTTGACTCTTTATGTAGAATAAGTTCAATTAATCATAAAAATATTATTGACATAAATATAGGTAAAAAAAAATGCTGGTATAAGTTATAATTTACACAAAAAAACAAGAAAAGAAAGAAGAAGTTTTAAAGAAATTAATTTAGTTACATTACTTTTTCCAAAAATGAGTTAATTTTAATTGTTTATTTTTCTGATTTGATAAATTTTTGTCATGATCTTCAGCTAATTTTGCTTGAATTGATATTTGCTGTTGTTCTTCATCATTGTCGTCGGATTCATCAATATGTAATAATGGAGAATCGATTGTAGCTGGATCGAACGTATAATTCAGAAGAGTTCTATTCAGAAAAGTTAGAAATATCTTACTTTGGAAATGAACCATTCATTATATTTATTCATTGTTGGAATATTGATAACACCTTCGGGAGTGAAGAACACCTTGACACCCTTGGCATATTGTTTCTGTTCATCAGGCGAAACATGACCCTTCCCTTTGAATAATAAAACAGGATCAACACGTTGATCTTCACCTGACACTGTGAGAATGACCGTACAAAATCTCTGAATGAAAAAACAAAATAAAATAGAAAATAGAATAATTCTTTGTGTAGCCCTTCCTACAAGAAAAACTGATCTGTCTACCGATAGCTTCTGAAATTTAACGAAGACTTGTGATTATATTATTGGTTCTTGTAAGGAATGTGTAGACCTGATAACGCAAACTTTAACTAGGTCTGAAGTCTGTCATGTCAGCGTTTTATAGATCTACGAAAATTTATCTGTAAATTGTATACAAAAACTCACCTCGAATGAATAAGTTATATTTTTTGTGTGCTGTAGAAAAAGAAAAGTACTCACTTTGTTACTCAAACATCCTTCTACTTCATTGCAAGTGTTGATATCATTGATTGATCGTTTTGATTGATCACCGAATAATGCCAGTGGAGATTCGTCCATGTTGAAGACGTCACGTGAAGTAAAGGCCCCCATTGCACCACGTTTTGGAGCCCCTCGACTTGCTCGTCGAAGAAAAGTATAAAATGAAGTTGCTTTTTGATGAACATCATCGAGTGGAATCTTCTGTTGTCGTTTTGGACGTTGAAGAGAGAGTCGATGACGAACAAGAAAACGACCAAACCATTTCGATGATGGACATGGATGATTTAATTCTTCACTTAATTGTCGTCCACGACGTTCAAGTTGACGAAATGTTACTCTTTCCTTACGAATATCAGAAGCAGGTATTGTTGTCGATCCAGGATCAGTACGTTTTTGACGATACCAGGCAAATAAACGAGAATCAAGTTCCACATAAGTTAATTTTTTACCACCTCCATTGAGACGCTTGCGTTTTTTACCTGATGGAAACAAAATTACAGATTAAGTTACTTTTTATATTTAATAAAAATAGATTATTCACCTTTCTTTTGAGATGCCAATTTTAATAATTTATCTTTATTCTGGATCCACATCCGAAGTTGTTTTATAGCGCATCCAACGTCTTTGGCTGTTTGGTGTTTGCTGTTGTTTTTTTCGAAGCAGGCAATTGCATTTAACTTTTCGTTTACGGTCCATTGACGTCGCTTACGCTTTTTCATGATGGTTGATGTTGATGAAGACGTAATATCGGCATTACTGTTGTTATTAGAAGATGTAGATTGATGAGATGATTGTAATAAGTTTTCATTATCACTAGATGATTCTGACGATGAATAATTGACGAGTGGTGCAGGTTGAGTTGAAGAATAATTTTCATCGCTATCATCGTCGCTGTCCGAATTAAGTTGTAGATAAGTAGTCCATTTAATTAATTCATTTTCATTTTCATCGACAACAGACGTAATTTCAACGCAGGAATCATCATCGGAACTGGATTCGTCCAAAAGTGAGTTTGTAACAACGCCTGTTAACGGTGCCAGATGCTCTTCGATTTGGTACATAATTAACGAAAAAACAATTCGAGAAAAAGATATTTTAATTGAATGACATATGAACGATACCGTCGAAATATGTTTGTATATATATATCTATTCAGCCTATTCATTCAGCGCATATCTCTCGTTCAAAAGGTTACATTATGAAACATCAAAATACGTGTGCAATTAATTGTTATGTATCAATTTCATCGTTCTTAAATAAGATTAAAGAATTGTTCTGTCATGTACATCGATATTTATTTCATGTCGAGTTATAACATTGAATTGGTTTGACTTTACTTTACAAATATATTATTGAATGTATGATAATGAAAAAGATAAAGGAAGAATATACAACAATTTTATAAAGCGTGATGAGCATTTACTCAAGTCATGTGAGTGTTCAGAAGAAAATTGGTTGATTTTGAAAAAATTCTAAATCTCGGACTGAATACAAGCCCATGGGCTTCTAATACGTCTTTCATATTGCTCCTTCCAGAGGGGGCTTCTAATACGGGGGGGGGGGGGGGGGGGGGGGGGGGGGGGGGGGCTTTGAAGAGGGGAGGGGTTTCTAATATGGGGAGGGGTTTATGTTGTTGATTAAAAAAACTTTATAAAAATCTCAAACTTTTCTTTAACCTAAAATAAAATGTTTAGTAAATAATGATGACAAACTTAAATATTATTTCGACCGGTATGATCAACTCGGATGACGCGGAAAATAGCCATGCATTTGAACTAAAAACCTATTACAGAAAAATCAACTGCAGTAAAAAGAAAAAAACACATCAAATAAATAATCAGAAAAAGATTCAATCGGAAGTATTTATATCAAGACAATATGTTCGAGATTGATCTAATAATGTATCATTAACAATAATATTACAAAATATTTGTCGTAATTTTGATACATATGCAAAATCGCATGCATGCTAAAATAGACATTGAATAGAGAGTTGCTACAATAATCAATTTATTTTTATTTTATGATTATTGACTCTTCATAACCATTCGATATACTTAATTTATCAACTAAGCATTTCGCTAACATTTTACTATAAAATTTTTCGAAAACATCTTTGCTTTTGACAAAATTAAAAATAATCTAAATAGAAAGGGATTTTAAGAATTAAGCCAAGAACAATAACATAGAAAATAATACTATAATTTGATTGACGTTCTCTTCAATATCGGTTTCTGTTATGGCTTTGTTTCTAAAAGATTAACTAACTGTAATTTAATAGCAAGTGTCAAATCTGAATAAACCCTTTTTGTAAAAGTGAATAACAATATCGAGCTAATAATTCAGTTAATTTTTATGCATTACAAGCTGCTTCTGTTACTCTATTGTTATAGATAAAGTTTCTACAAGCCTAAAAATATATGATGATAAATGAGATAATTTAACAAATATTCTATTTACATTATCAAGAGCAATAATAAAATGTTCATCATTATTTTAAAAAACTTGCTGCAAATTCAAATGATATCGTACGAATCTTAACAATTGTTTGAACGTAGACTTTCGGTTCCTATCAGTAGAAACACCGAATCTATCAAAAAATAAATCAAATGAATTATTTGAAACTTTACTATATAGAATAAAGCTTTAATGCAAACAAGCAAAACGAAGTAAATAAATCATATTAGGAAATTTTTATTTACTGATCTGAATATTTTCCATCATCTAGGAAGTTTTTACTTCAGTATTGATTGGTTCAAGTCGATCATAGATGAGTGCTTCTACAAGTTTTTTAATTAATGGTGCTAATGTTGATAAATATAAATAAGAGTTTACTCAATGTATCTCTTCTTCTAAATGTTGCAGCATCTATTATAAATAATATTAATACATGTTTTATTATTTTTGTAAAAAGAAAAACAGTAAACCTTTTTCAAATATTCAGTTACAGAGTTCTTACAATGGAGGTACTTGTATTGTACGTCGAGAAAGTGGCATATGTTCGGGTCAAATGAAAGCTCTCAAAGCAAAACTAACAAGATTAAAATATTAGCGGCCCTTGGCTTGCCTAGAGGGAGATATTTAACCTTTAAGTATAGGTATAAAAATGAATCAGGAAAGGTTTTCTTCGCTATTATAAGGACAAAACACAGTGTTGCTCGGGTCGATTATAGGGTTTGTAGGGTTTCTCGTTCATATGACCCGAACAATACTATGTTTTGTCCTTATAATAGTGGAGTAAATTTTCCTAGTGGCTTATAGAAAAAATCTCTTTCCATGAGCTACAGGAAGAATTCACTCTACTATTATACGGACAGAACATAGCCTTGTTCGAGACATATGAAAGAGAGTTCCTACAAACCCCATAATCGACCCGAGCAACACTGTGTTTTGTCCTTATAATAGCGAAGAAAACCTTTCCTGATTCATTTTTATACCTATACTTAAAGGTTAAATATCTCCCTCTANTAGTGATCATGTATTTTCTACCATTTACTGTCATCATTACGTGTACACTTCTTACAGTAAAAAAGCTTATCTTAAGACAAACAACTACAAATGATCAGTTAGCAAGGAGTGCTCAGCGCAAACGCCGCATTTCAGTGATGTTGTTACTAATGTGTTTGACATATGTTATTTGTACTCTACCTAATCGTCTGTGTTTTTCTGTTTTTGTGGATCAGATTATAGGACATGACTATACAGATACGGTATTCCTTGCTACAAACACATTAATGTTTACAAGAAATGCGATGAATGTATTTTTTTTCTACATATCTGTCTATGGATTTCGACAAGATATACGTAAATTCGTCATAAAATGCCTCAGTAAACAACGAAATCAAGTAGATCAAACAAATCATGCAACGACAAGAAATAATATGGCCACGATAACGGTCAATGAAAGACAATCGCGAATGTGGAGCAACAGTTTCGTAAAATAATAAACTCATCATTCTTCATATTCTCTTAAGGAACAATCAGACACTACATAAAATCTCTATTATTATTATTCGTTGTCGTAGTAAAATTTTAGTTTGATATTGTGATTGTAAAATTGTTGTTTACTCACGAATTAAAGTTGAATTATTTCTCTTAATTTCTATCATATTTTCTATCTGAAAAATGGTGAACACAAGAAAAGATCGGCTAGGTCAAAGTATGATCAGAGTGTGATGTTTTTATTACAGAACATTGCCATGTTTAGAAGCTGCAATCGAAAGAAGTTAGTTATAAAATTAAAACTAATATGCACAGTGAACAGCAAGATGTTTTTTTTTTGTGTCGCATTAGCATTGAATATATTAGGTAGTACACTATGTGAACCATTCTTTTGTACGCTCGAAAATTGATATCCGTTTATTATAGATAAAATAAACCACTTTCCTCAATAATTTAACACTTATCGTGAAATACGACATGAAGTTCATAATCGAAGATCCTTAGCTTATAATATGCGTTTTATCTGAATGCTTTCGAATTGATTTTTTACGAGCCCTAACGACTGAATCATAATAAATTTCTCATATTTATCAATTATAGCTTGGCAAATCGTTGAGCTTTATTCTCATACCAAAAAATATGTGATTGAATAGAGAAAATAAAAGTGTGTATTTCGATAAAGACGGCTGCCTCTTGAGTATGTGACATACTTAAATAGCTTTACGCGCTTATGTAGTAACTAGAAAATTGGATGCATCTTTTTTACTTATTGTGATGATATTTGATTTATTGAATCTTATTTCAAAATAAACATTGAAATTCAACATCATAAATGTATTCACGCCGTATATTTAGATCAATTACATTACACATTGTAACGATCTTCTACAGCCAGACAATATAAGAGACTTGCATGATGCATCATTTTTTAGGTGCATCGTATTTTGGGATGGATGTGGGTGTGAGTATAAGTAATGAACGATTGAGAAGTCATTAACGCTTTCATTTTCGTCAATGAAGTAAAATAACGTTTTCATGATTAATAACTTTGCAGGAAGTTGTAGATGATCATAGGAAATATAATTTATCTTCTAATCAGGATATCAAATATTTTAGATTATGTACTGCCGATGTGAGAGCAGATTGATTTAAAGTCAGATGATTTCTCTAGGTGCATAGATTTGGTGCTAAAACGTTGCTGAAGTATTTTCGAACTTGTGAAACAATTTCATTTTTATTATTGAATATTGATATATATACATATATGACGAATAAATACGGCTGATTAGGATGAGCAATTTTTTGAACAAGAAGGCATTCAATTCTATGAAATCCGCATATTTTCCTGTGTAGTTTTGTCAAACTTCAAGTAATGGAGTCTTGATCAAAGAAAATTTCAAATATGTTCTTTTGATTGAACATTTTCTTGTTGATCTATCAGCTATAGAGTTTATTCATGTATCGCAATAGGGCAATAGAATTCAAAAACCGTTCATTCAACTAATTACTTGAATCGAATTTTATTGAATTAAATTAATTTGAAACAAACTTTAACAATCCGTGAAGTAAACTCAATTAAAAAAATGCGATTTGTTTCTTTTGACGAAACAGTATTATAACGAAGCAATATTCGAGCAAAAAGAAGGTATCGTGCTATATTATTCTAGAACTTTATTATGTTCTTAGCTAGAAGTAGACATGTATCAATTTCGATTTGCGTCAGTTCCTATTGCGGGACTAGGCTGAACTTGAAATTGACGGAAATCGGAACCGAATTGGAATTAGCCTATGTTTTGTCCTTTGGAGAAAATTATGATGAAATCCATTTTAACTTAATTTATTATGTACGTGTACTATTAAATAGTTCATTCAAAGAATCTACTTATTCCGATGAGATATAACATATTTGACTCATTTAATGCTACCGTACTTGTGTAGCGTGTACCATTTTCAATTCTGACAAATCCTAATTGCAATGTTAATTCTAGCCCCGGAACTGATTGGAATTGATCTGGCATTGATTCGAATCTGTTGACATTGGCTTGCTATGGAATCAACTGAAATTGATATAGATTTGGCTTAGGTAGGTTAGTCAGAATAAGTTGGCGTTGTCATTGCTTAGAAATGGAAAGTGATCGTTACACAAGCCGCTAGTTTACTAGTTACCGGCTAACCAACTAACGGAATATTCTGCAGTTGATTCTTTCGTTCAGGAAAGGTGCTTATGGGAAAATAACGGCTTTTTATAAAGTTAAATCGAAGGTTTTGGGAGTCAAAGATTAGAAGTCTGTAATCGGTTATTTAAAATTGTGTACTTCATCCTTGGGTCAAGTAAACTCTACCCCACAGACTTATGATCAAGCTTTATAAAAAAAAATAGTTTATTTCCCTCTAAAGCCCTTTTCTTTTTGACCACCGAATCAAATTTAGAATTTTTTTCGTAACCCTGTTATCTAGTAAATAGTGAAGTAGCTGTCCGTGTAATAATAACTTCTTATCCATAATCAATGCTAATTCCGACCTATAGAGGTCAATTCGAAGTCAAGAATTGAAATTGGAATAGGTTGGACTTGAAATTGGTGCGTCCTTATCGAGAGATGTCTGAATCATACTTGTTGATCAAGATTTTACTTTTACTTTAGTATAATGTTAGTACTGTTTTCTTTCAGCGCTTAGATAATGTGTATTTCTAGCTGATACATCGATACTGGTCACAGAACGGATATATTTCTTTCTACTTGGATCATGAATATAGGAATCATTTCTATAAGATGTTGATAATGAAAATACCATGCGCCAAATTTCTCTAGAACAAAGCTGTATCATTCAACTCAAACCCAACTAATTCTACTATATTCAATTAAAATCATAAGTTGACGAAATTGAATTGAATTACAAAATATTTCGTAAGATTTATGAATCGCATACAGTTGACTTTAACTGAGATGAGTGTAGATTTTTCTGCAATGATTTGAGTTCAGTTGCCAGTTATCCGGTTACATGTGCCAACTAATTAGATAGAAAAGATGTTATGACTCTTTCTGCGCATTCAAAAGAAACAGGGTGTAAATTAGAAACAAATACTGTAGTTACAAGTGACATCCATTAACTTGATATAGGTTTTAAAAAGCCACTCACATGACAGCCAGAGAATCGTCTTCTTGAGATTTCAAATGATCAAAAATGGGAACAATTGTTGAATGCACAAAGGCAGCTATATGTTTCACTTATCTTTTATAAACAATAGGGTTGAGCAGCATGAATATCCGAACAACCGTTCTCTTTCTCGTACGACTCCAACTAGCATCAACCACAGACCGTTCCAAGTGATTTGAATCATCTAAGTGGCATTAAAAAAACTCGTGAAACTAACGAATAATATTAGAAAATCATGTTCACTCGGTTGAATGATCCAAAAAAGAAGATATTCCAAAGAATCAGCAGCGAAAGGAACGGCATCACACTGATCGCATTGAAAATTATTTGTTGTCCTTTTATCAAAAAACAGCTGCGATAATTACATAGCAGAAAAATCCATGACACCAAAGTCAATTAATCAGCAGTTTACGACAATGATCAAACTGACTAGTTATCAAACATACCAAATACATCATCAACAAAACACATAAATGCCTGAAACTCAACATAACGAGTCACACAAATTCAGGACAGAAGCATTTGAATGTAAAGTTTTTCAATGATTCATCAATGATTACACAGCAAAATCCATTACCTCAAACAGAGATTCGTTCTAAGCCACAATCCTTGGATGGAGAAACTCTTTCAAAGCACCTTTCATAACAACAGACTGTTCATTTAAAATGTGCCGCACTGACTATCTAATGATAAGTACATTGCATAACAATACCTACAGACAATTTCAAACACACTCAGAAAACAATATCTATTTTTTCAAACTTTTCCACCAGAAAAAAATTCCATACTCTTTTCTTCCACAAGAAACTATCTCCCATCAAGAATGCGTCACCGATGTGGGTGTTTGATGTGGGGATATGAGTGTAGTTTTCGATTAAGGAAATAAAATAATCACACTCACTCACACCCACATCACAAATAATCATATGCAGACAATATTATATCTTAATCGAATTATTTGTTGAAAAACGATGATGAAAAACACTTAATTTTTAGTTTATATTATAACTTGACTCATGAACATTTGAATGAAGCACTAAACATAAATCAATATCGAGCAATTATATAAAAAGAAATTGTTCATAAAATGCACGTGTTTTCCAATAGACACAGAAAATAAGGCAAACATTTTTTTTTAATATATACCATGTTGAATGTTCGACTTTTTCGATCTAGTCGAACATCTCTTTAGATCCTTAAAATTAGGAGATTTTGTAAAGTTTGAAAAGCTCTATCAAATGGTATAGAAGAAAAATCTGGAGAAAATTACTTTTATAAAATATCCAAAGTATTACTATAAATAATATATGAAATATAAGGCTCCAGTATAAGAAATGGAAGATACATATCTAATCTCAGAAAGATCAAAATGATGTTCTAAATGAAATATTTTATCAAGAAACTGGAGAGTGAAGACATATCTATCGAAAAACCTTTGAGCTATTCTTCATCTTCAATGTTTTCTTTTCAAAACAATTAGTCTCATAGTTAGAGAGCGTTATTGACTAATTGATAGTTGATGGTATGATGAATTATAGATCCTAATGATAGCTAGAATCTTATGAAAATCCATCGAATTTAGTATCAAAATGTTCAGAAAGTTATAATCGATCGATTCATATATAATTGAATTTATTCTAGTAATGAAAATCCAATAGGGCCAAAATGTGTTTTTATAAGGCTTTCTCCTTTATTTAACTAATTTCAAATGAAATAAATATATCTGAAGAAAGAAGAAGTATGTAAAATATTGACCTATAATATCTTTACAAATACTCAAGTTCTCTAATCTACTTATATGACAACATAACCTAGCTAATGGTATCAAGTTGTGACTATATTTTAGTTTCACTCTTTAAAAAACACACAAGGTTAATGTTGAAGAAGTTCTTTTTACGAAACTATAGTACATTGCTTTTTCTATGCAATGTTTGAGTTTGTTTTTCAACAAGACTTAACAGTTAATCAGACTCAAACTACATATACAAGCAATTTGATCTGCCATATCATTTCATTAACTTTTGTAATTTCTCCGATGTCCTTGTGAGTCGTTGAAGGATCATCTTATTGCATTCTTACTGTTGACAGTGTTGACATAGATACTTTTCCTTCACTGTTCATGTTTTATCTTCAGCGAAAGCTCTGTAACATTATTATCTTTCTCTTCTTTCTTTATTAGGCATCTAATGAAAAATCCATATAATAAAAGAATTCATTATAAAGAATATAGAAAAAGTCGACTTATAGTATAGATAAGAAAATATGCTTTCATCAAATGCTACTTCAACTCCTGCTCCTACCTCACTAGACATTGCCCAATATCAATTTATTTTACGATTAGTCGTGAATACATTAGGTTTAACAATACTCATCACTGGTGTTCTAGGCAATATAATCAATATTATCACCTTTACCACATTGGGTTACTATAGGCAAAATGCCTGTTGTCTCTATATTATCTCAAGATCGATATTCGACGAATTTGTTCTCATTTTCGGTCTTGGAACACGCATTCTTAGTCAAGGTTTTCAAATTGATTTTACAGCGACAAGTAATGTTTGGTGTAAATTACGCGTTCCTATCATTTACATCAATACTCTTAGTTCATATACTTTTCTGTGTCTACAATCAATTGATGCATTCTTAGTCACATCTCTATCAACATCCTTACGACAAAGAAGCAATGTGCGAACAGCTCGTTATCTACTTCTCAGCTTTCTATTTCTTTGGATAGTCGAAGAATTACCGTATTTGTTCTTTCAAGAGCTTATCACTAGTTCTGGTGGAAGCAAACCGACATGTGTAACAGTAAATATAGTCTATGCTAAATATCGTACTTATTTCGTATATCTATTTTTAACTACAATTGTTCCACTCATTGTAATAATTGTATTTGATCTTTTAACTTATCAACATCTTCATATACACTCGACACAACAACGACGTCGTTTACTTTCGATTCTAACGAGACAAATGACAACAATGACTTTATTTCATATTGCTCCTGTAATTTTATTTCAAGCTCCATTTGCTGTTTCACAATGTTATTTTCTTACAGTGGGTATTAGTAAGGAGCCTATCCGTGCAGCACAAGAACAAATAGTTCAACAATTTTCTAATGTTCTAGGCTATGGAATATATGCAGTAAGAGATCTCGTCTCAAATGCTAAAAACATATGATTTCTCTGTTTTCTTTTCAGACTTCTTTCTACTGTTACTATGTAGCATCAAAACGTTTTCGTGAACAAGTATTCAATGTGTTTTCATTCAGTCTGCAACGGACAAATCGAGTACGGCCATGATGAGTATTACAAGTTTAATATCTGTTATCAATCTGGTTGAAGACATATCTAAAGTAAAATCAATATTTAAAGAAATCTCAAGTAGATGAAAAAAGGAACACTGCATTTTCATACGACTTTTGAGATAGTTAATCGATGCGATCAATTCTCTATACTTATATTTGGCGTACATATATATTTTTTTTCGTTGGCTGACCAAGAATGTCACAACAGTTGCTGTTGTCACTTATCTTTGTATCTGTTTTGCTTTTTCTCATCTGTATTTTTCTGTTGTTCTATCTCTATTTGTATATGTGTCACTACCGTTGACTTCATGAAAAAAATCTGCTTATGTTTCATACAGAACTCTGGAAGAGCGAAAGTAGGAGCTGGTTTGATAGGTTAAATTGAGTTCTGTGTGAAACTGGTTCATTAAAACTCAATTCAAAAGGATAAATATTTGAAAATCCAGTGCTCATAGATAGTTACAAATTATTGTTGATAAACAACACTGAATGCAATTCAATGCTGATTCGCAATGACTCATTCAACTATATGCATTAACACCAAGATATTTCGCTTCATTTATTGACTTTCTCGATTAGCGAGATTTGTCCTCTGTCTATCATGGCACAATTAACTGACATGAATGTAGATATCACTATCACCGAAAACACTATTGATATGGAAAATAACTACGACTAGATTTTAAACTTTAGAGTTTTATTCTTCTATAATATAATGTTTCAGCTTCTGCTTCAAGACAATTCAAAAGTTGATCTGCTTAAGGCATTCAGTGCTGTATCTAAAATTCCAAGAGAAACTTTGTATGTGTTAACGAAGGAAATACAAGTGCATCCTGGAAACAGAATAAAGAACATGTGTTCATAAGATCAGTTTTTCGCTCACAATTTTAGGTTTTTTTCCGTTGCATAAATGGTAAGCCAGAAGTCCTGACTCGGTTTGAATATTCAATTTTTCTTCACGAAATACATGGTTGTAAATTTTTGTCTATAATGAAAAGATGCAGTAAAATACATTCTGCTATATGAGTTTTAATTGACCTTGCTATCTCATGTAGTAACAGTTCAAAAAAGAATGCCGTATGGTATTATTTAAAACTTTCTATAATATAACAAAAATACAATATATACTATGTGTGACATTTGCCCTTTGTAGAATGATAGAGTTGATATTTGCGTATTCGATAATTGTAGTCATTTAGGAATGAGTGAAATTAACATCTATAAACATAATGCTCCTAATAAATGTACAGACAAAACAAAATGTAGTGCAAATGGTGACCAAAAACGTCGCTTTGATGGATTGATAGATATATCGATTTATGACAGGTATTTATATAAATACTTGCATCTATGGTCATCTTCATCATTACGCAAGTGATGTATATGTTGGATAACAAGATATTAGAGAACAATAAATCGGCTCTCATACATGGAAAGAGATATCCTCCGATTATATACGCTCTACTAACAGACTTTTATGTCAAGATATGATCTCTGTATATTTGACCTGGTTTAAGTTGAGAAATTCAAATTTCAATCTCCAATTCAATCTAAACAAAGAATAGACAAATATTGTCGTGATACATATTGGCAACAGTGGAGAGGACTACATTAAAACTTTTTGTCATGAGGATTTTTTTGTTTTTTTAGGAAATAGGAAGTTTGTAATGATACAGTGCAGAGATTCTACCTCAATAACTAAAATTATTAGGTTAGTTTTGAAGACTCTCCTTTGAAATTCATAGTTTCCCAAGAAAATTTCCACTTATGATAATTCACTAAAGAACCTTTGTTTCTCTTGCACGTTAATGGCTTTTTCTTTTTCTTCGTAGACCTATTTTTCTTACTCTCAGTAACACGTGTATACATCAATATGCAGTAAACTGGATGTGGTTTGAGTGAGGACGTGAGATAAGAAGAAGATCCACACCCAACATCTTGCCAACAATATCCGCAGGTGTCACACTTCTTTTGAACTATTCTAATAATCGAAAACGTTTCTTGATAGGTTTTCACAACCGCTTAAACCAACGTATTCAAGATTCTCATGCAAATATTTGATAGTTTATTAAATGTCTTCAAGGGAAAGTGATACGATTTTGACATATGCTGACATAACTGAATGCTGGTGCTCAAAGACGAAACCGATCATTGAAATACAATAGTATATTGTTACATTAAATAAATGTTATACGTATGATGAAATCTATCATAAGAAACTATTAAATAGTTTATCATTAGGTTAGAGAACAACTATTGATATATCCCGGTAGCTTGACAGTCAAAGGATAACCAATCGTTTACGTATTAAGCTAGGATTGGTTTATTACCTGTGTACAACAAGTATAGCACAAATTACACCGAACAGACTACTGAAGGTTTATGAGCGGTTTTTGTTCGCTTCGAATCACATGAATACTTTTGTATGGTTTATTAGCAGATTCAATTCTATCTTTCGGTGACTCGACAATTATTATCATAACGATTAGTTGCGGATATTTTATCAGATGGAGCATAATGACAGAGAACGATAATTGTCATATTAGCCATTATTGAGAATTTTAGAAGAAAATATTAAAATACATAATATTTATAAAAACTTAGCGAATCCTCTTTTGTTGTTTGAAATTTGACACAGGCTGAGAGTCTGTGTAAATATTCTATGAACGGATTAATATAAAATACGATGACAAGTCGTTCGATTTGATCGTCGAGTTTCTCAAACAAAATTTTCTTTATGCGAGATATTGTTCTTAGAGATGAAATTTTCGCTTTCAAATCTAGTCAATCAGTTGTCTTTCGAACATAGATTTAGATTGATAACGGATAAAAACTTTTTTTCGACTCGAAATCGGATTCGCTTTTCAATGGAGCCTGTGCAATTCGATGTGCTCTGCCATGATATGGATAAGAGTTAAAATCATCCTTTTAAAAATTAGGCAAAGTGAAACTAAAAGTTTGTTATAATAGAAACACTAATGACTATGAAAATGATATCATTGATATACTTCTTTAAAAATGAAATCTTTCTTTGAACAAAGCAAGGTGATGATCAATGTATAACATGGATTATCAACTATGAAAGTTCTACAAAATAATAACGATTATTATTAAGATCCCCCCGCCTCCGAAAAAAAATAGTTACTTTTCGTCCGAATTATCGAAATTAAGATAAATGCATATGACGATAGCGCGTGATCTGATCTTTCATAAATGACAAAAACTTTAACTTGTCACCTCGTTTTTTCTCCGTTTATAGTTTCTTGATCGCGCAATGCAAACTTCTCTGTCGATACTCATTCTATGTATTGAATTTTTGTTTGTTTGAAAGAAATGGTCAAGACACAGTGCAGTGCAGAGCCCTTTTTGATTAAGCTTTGCTTTTACTATATATATAAACATTTATAAAATTAGAGCGTCATTTTTCAAGAGTTTTTGGAGTCATTGAACTTTCGATCCTTTTTTCCCCTTAAAAAGAAAAAATTTAAAAAAAAAGGGTTCTACACTGCATCCTGACATGCTCTATCAAACAAAAACAAATTAATTATGTAGAACGAACCTGAACAGAGAAATTTGATTCACCAAATGATCTATTTTTTATCCTTGTTTGGTCAATATCTCCCTCAAACCTCATGATATTGGGCTAGCAATTTCACCATAGCTTCTCCACTATAATCCCAACATATCTTGAAAATTTCATACAATTTGAACGTTTCTTGACTGAGATCGATTTTTGAGGGGCCTTAATTGATAGTGTGCATTAAAGAATTATAATGAAAAAAAATATTAAAAACAATTTTTTGCAAGAAAATATGAGATCTACTATAGAATGATTTATGTTAATTATTGACTCTTCTGTGTCCTATTGTCAATTGTTCTCAATTATAACTCATTTTGTATTTAATTGTTATACGAAAATATTTTAATTTTTCTTTCATTCTGATTTTTAGTGAAGAAATTTATTCAGAAATTTTCTTTTATTAAATAAAGGAGAAATAAATTTTAGTCTTTTAATTGTTTGTAAACACTTGCAGGAAGAATAGTTGACTTGTTGAATTTAATCAAAATCCAATCGACAATCCAAGCAGGTATCATTGAAAGTGGAAAAAAGATAAAACTTGATTGCCAACCTGGTCGATAACGAATAAAAGGCTTTGCATTCATGACAGCATGCTGAAGTGCACGTACAACTTTAATTGGATCTTCAGCATATTTAATAAATATATTATTTGTTTCTTCATTATATTGTACTTTAAGAAAATCTTCACCCCATCGTATCTGTACATCTTTTGATAATGTCGGTCGAAATTCCTCAAACGATTTATGATTTTGTTCAATTATTGGTGTTCGCATAAATCCAGGTTCAATAATACTAACACGTAAACCCCATGGAATCATTTCTCGACGAAGACAATCAGAAAATGATTCTAAAGCATATTTTGAAGCTGAATAAACCGATAGACTTGGTGCAGCTAGAAAACCAGCTACTGAACAAATATTAATAACACGTGAATCATATTTATTAATTAATAATGGTAAAAATTTTTTTGTCATTGCTACATGTCCAAAAAAATTTACATCCATTGTTTTACGCATAAGTTCTAATGTTATGAAATCAATGCAGCCAGATACTCCAATACCTGCATTATTAACAAGAGCATGAAGTTTATTTGTTTTCTTTTGTACTAATTCATATGCAACATTAATATCTTCTTCATTTGTAATATCAAGATGAAAAACAGTAGCATTTGATGAAAGCTTATTTTTAAGTATGAGAATATTATTAGAAGTATAAACACCAGCTAACACATTAAAACCTTGTTTATCAAGTTCAATAGCTAATGCATGACCAAAACCTGTATCACAACCAGTA